AGGAAGCTTCTAAGATGCGCAAGAAGCTGGGCATGCCTGAGTATGACCCCGACGAAGCCTTGCTTACCTCATTGCCCAAGATCTTGAGTCTCGACTAGAATTAAATATATGATGGTTTCTCTTAGATCTCGAGCCCCAGTTTCAACCAATCCCCTTGCAAAGCCCTTCTTCGGATGCCTGATGAAAGGTATCTCTACATGTACCGACTATTCTTCATCACTAGCGAGCTGTTCTTTGGGGTTCGCAGGATTGCCGTTCAGGTGTCTAGGGGACCGGAGGTTTGTAGATTTCAGTGAGAATTTCAAGATCGTGTGGGTCCCTACTTTGCTATTCTTGAGTCTGCAGTTATGCCAGCAGCTAGCAATAGTCACGGGTCGGCCTTCAGGCTTTGGTTTTCAGCTGCTCAGGCCGGGGTTTATTTCATATATTCAAGCAGCTCTATATCGCTGGGCTGCATGGGGCTCAAATAAGAACTCGCTAGGCTTCAGTTTTTAACACAGTTCAGCGGTTTATGGAGGGCACGGCTGCTACATGTTATTGAAACCCTCCTGCTCTTTTCCAAAGAGCAGACCATGACAAACAGACCCCATAATCTAGGCTCTTCTAACCACAACAGCCAAATTCTCAAGGGCCCCACACAAACTGGAACACTGAAAACTTCACCGAAAAGACTGTATAGACCCCATATAATATTAAGACTATCATCCCTGGAATTGTCATACTTGAACCCACCCCAAACCTAGGGCCTCCATGGTGAAGCGCATCAAGAAGGTGCAGGCCTTGTCAGAGCGGTTCGAGGAGCCGAGAAGGGCTGGGAAACGGCTTGAACCGGTGCAAGTGCAGCCACTAGCCGCGCTGACTAAAGTTCATGCCCGATGAGGGACTCGCTTCATGTCTTTGTGTGCAAGCATGCGGTATAAGGTTTGCTGATGCCATCTCCAAGAACCTGCATGCCCTGAATGTGGTGAATAAAAAGATCTCAGACCTCTACAGTGGTAGTGTGGTCAGAGGGATGACCAAGGAGCCGTTCGTCTTGCAAAACATCAAATAGTTGTCGATGGGAATCGGGTTGAATAAGTTTGATTGTATGATACATGTGTGTATAGCTGTTTAATCAAGGTTTCCGGTTCATCTGATGATTTGTTTACTATCTAGCCTGAAGCAATCGCTCATCTGAGGATGCAGACTATGGCCAAGACCCTCGTCGGCGAGCGCATGTCTGAGCTCAAGCCCCAGCTAGGAAGCATATGTAACCCAATGAATTATGCATGCGGTCTTCTGACCAAGCATGCGTGACTGAGGGCGACAGAGTCTTTGGGCCTCGAGACCAGGTCAAGGCTGAGAAACCCCTGGTTCCTCCCTCTCTCTCTCTCTCTCTCTGCACCTCTCTGCTGCCCAACTCTCCTCCTCTCCATCCCTGAATGCTACGCAGGCCGTTCCTACCGAAAGCTGCTGGGCCGAAGCGCAAACCAGCCCTGAAGAAGGCACTCGTGAAAGCTGCTGCCAAAGGCAAAGCTAAGGCCAAAGCGGCAGCGAAGCGAGCAGCAGAAACCCCAGTGAAAACTCCTGCCAGCAACAAGCGGGCACGGAAGTGATTGTGCTGTTACGAGCAAGCGTCTCGCAATATCATTTGCTACTCCGAGCAAGTGTTTTTCGCACTTGATACAGTGCGCACAGCAGCTCTGAGGGCATATGCGCTCTTTAGGGAAGGGCTTTACTCCTCCATGCATATCTAGATGTAGCTTATATATTTATAAACTAGTATACTAAGTAATCAACATCTATTTACTTTGGAGTGGGCCCTAAATTAGGCTAGATGGATGGATGCTTCATCCATGGGACTTCTGTGCAGAGATGTCAGAGATGAAGCGAACAAAACAACGCGCAAACTCCTGCCCGATGAAATATGCAGAGCTGCATGGTTTCAGCAAACTAATACTAAGACTAAGAATGATAATGAAACAGCCAGGTGAAGACCGATTAGATCCTGAACCACCTTGTGGATCCCACGTTGCGGCATATGCGGAAGCATTGGCTGATTGTGTCCGGTCCTCAACTATTGTATTACATAAAGATAGCTGGCTAGATAGTGAATTTAATCACTGAAAGCCCAGGTCCCTGCCACGACTTTGCAGTCCTTGGCCGCGAGGGCATCCGAGGATCGGCCATCGGACCTGGGCCCGACGTCTTCCAAAAAGAGCAACGCTTTCAGAGATGCCGAGAGATTTGTTCGACGATGGGGCTTGCACTGGCCAATAGCAGTTTCCAACTATGAGCATGATGATGAAACTAGTGTTCCATTCCTGGCCCCTCGAGACATTCTTTCCCACCTGATAAGCAAAAAACCCGAGTTGCTCTTTGGCGGCTACGACAGCATGCCGTTGATCAGAGAGCTCCTAGGCAGCTTCTGGAATTGCTACGAGAAGTGGCATCCTACACACGAGGTTTTTCGACAAAGTCGGGAATCGGATTTGGACTTGACTTTGACGCTGCCCATGCTGCTGCATGGAGACGAGGGACGGGGAGTGCGCAAAGGTAACATTGCAGTATGTTCATTCGAGACTCCCTTCGGTTTACAAACCGAGAAAGAAAAACAGTGTGATTGGAGCTGTTGTGAGCCGGGCAATGCGGACGCCACGCCTTGCGCCTGGCAATCTGTGAATCTGAAATATCACTCTTTCCTCACGAAGTACCTCCTTTTCCTCATGCCCAACAAGCTCTACAAAAAGAAAGGTGTTCTCGATGGATTGCTTCGCGTTATCTTTACTCAGCTACGATCTTTGTTCTTCGAGGGGCTGCAAATTGGTTCTCACTTTTGGCACGTTGCAGTGATCGGCTGCAAAGGAGATATGGCGTGGTACCTTAAGATTGCAAACTTGGATCGAAGCTTTGCACGGCTCAGTAAAAAATCAGACGTGATGTGTTGCCACGAATGCCTGGCTGGATCTTCCCTCTTGCCCTTCGAAGATCTATCCGATGATCCGGCCTGGCAGCCCTCGGTATACACAGTACGCCCGTGGCTTCAAGAGCCGAACAGTGGATTGTGTTTGGTACCCTATGATGCATCACAACCTGAATCCATTCTACGGAGAGACATCTTTCACAACCTCAAGGTCGGGGTTTTGCAAGACTTCATAGCTGGATCAGTCGTTCTGATAGCAGAGCTCCAGTACTTCAACGAGGGAACGACACACATCAACAACTCGATTGTTACCGTTCTCCAAAGGATGCATGGACACTTCAAGCTTTGGTGTGCGAGCCAGGGAAAGTCTGCAAACCTTCAGGGTTTCACGAAGAAGTTTTTTAATATCCCCTCGCGGAAGCATTATGGATGGTGCAAGTCTAAGGGCTCCGATTCTGTTCTCCTTATTCAGTGGCTCATGGTTTTGGCCAAGGGCTGTCTGCAAGATCTGCGCAAGGACAGTGATCGTGTTGCTTTGGACGCCATATATGTCGCTGCTAAATCTGCCGATCAATGGCTGAAGCATATGTATGCTCACACGATGTGGTGGTCAAGGACATGTACACAGGCGAGCTTGGAACTAGGATCTACGTTCCTACGGACATATGGCTTTCTGGCCTGGCTGTGTTTGCACAAGTATGGCCTTTCAGCATATGCTTTGAAACCGAAGATTCACATGCTCCACCATGCAACACAATCACTTCGAAATGACCTCAAACGAGGCTTGACTAGGATTCCTTCGATTCTGTTGACGAACTGCGAAATGAACGAGGATTTCATAGGACGAATTTGCCGTATGGGACGCAAGATGCACCAACGAAACATGATGCGTCGGGTGCTGGAGTTATATTTAATTAAAGGGCATTCGCTGCATAAGCGCTTCAAGAATAAGGGCTTCGACTGCAAGCCACGCAGAAAGCGTGGTCGGAGCTAGGCTCCCGGCATGCATTGCGGAGATCGAAGCGAAGAGCAGGTGGACAAATGTCGGCTATCTCATGTATCGGCTTTTTTGGGGGTGCAGGCTTAGGGTTTTAGAGGCGTCAGGGTTCTCAGAGGGCTTTGCGGTTCTATAGGGCATAAAGTTTTATACGGGGCTTCACCAGGTATGGGGTTTCAGAGATCAAGGGTTTGTGGGCGTGCCAGGGTACATCCTTGATTTGCGAACTCCAGAGAGCTACGCACTCAAGCCGACATCATCCCCGAGCCACCCGAAACAACAAAAGCGTAAATTATCCGAAACTCCTAAAATCTCTCTCATCGCCTGAAATTATAGTTGTTCCAATCAACGCCTAAAATTTTAGTCCCCGGACTCTCTAGGTAAGGTTCACAGTTAAGGGATTGGAGTTTACGGTTTAGGGTCTTGTGTGCAGGGTTTAGGATGCCATGGGGACGCTGCTTTTGTTCACCAGCATTTCTGGACACTCACTTGTCGGAACCCTGGCAAACCCAAGAGCAAGCGAATACCTGGCTACAGTCCCCACAGCACTTGGCGCAGAACAGTCTGTGTCCCGATGTCATATCATGCCATAGCATATCATACCATAGGACTATGAACGTTATAAGTTGGATCAGATCATATTATGTTATTTATATTATATATTATCTTGCATTATCTCATACCAAATATGTTGCCATACTCTATCTCTTACGTACGTCATGTACTTCCGCGTTAAAGTATTCATACAAGGATGCCTGCAAAGCCAAAGTATATACGACAAGGGTACTTGGACACTCAGGGATGACCCAACACACAAAGACCCAAAACCCAAAACTCTAAGGCCTAAACCCTAAACCCTAAAACCTGTAAGCCCCTAAACCCCTGAACCCTAAGCTTAAACCCCAAACCGAGAGACGTACCCAAGCCTTGAGTAGCCTCGAAACCCTGACTGCTAGGGGTTTCGGGTTTAGGGTTCGGTTTAGGGTTTAGAGTTTAAGGTTATAGGGTTTAGTTGAGGGTTTAGGGTTCAGAGTCCAGGGTTTAGTTTAGGGTTTAGGGTTCAGGGTCTGCTAAGCATCCTATAATTACCCTCGTGGAAGCCTTTCAAGCCGGGGTTGGGCCACTGCCAGAGAGAAAGCGGATCCTTCGTGCTGCGCTTACGGGCGGGGCTTCTTTAAGCTGCAAAGGTTTCAAGTACGGTTTTGGAATAAGTTTTCGGGTTTGGGCTTGGCGGTTTTCTGCTAAGACAGCCGCGTTACACTAGGCTGAGACCGAAAGACCTGGGCAAGAGAGGACAGGACAGTTGGGTGCATTTCAACAGTTCATCAACCTCAACCTAGCCCCAACATTGAGCTTGTCTCCCGAACAGGGTACCAAAATCTAGGGGCTGAGAAGCTCTGACAGGCTTAATCCCTACACCTCAACCCTAACCCCCGGTCAAACCATGGGATGAGCGCCGACGCGGCTTTGAAGGCAATTTGCAAGCCCTGTACATGTTTCAAGGGTCCCTGGATCCGTTGGATTCGTACAACTGGATTTGGGCCTTCATGCATGTGGCACCGAGGTTTGAGGATTTAAGCCTAGAGCCCCTCACACCCTCAAGCCTAGATGCCGAAATACCCCCAAACTTGAACCGTAAACCCCTACATACTCTAAACCTTAGGCCCCAAAGCCTAGGGGCCTGAAGGTTGCTGAAGTTTCTGAGCAGAGGAGCTGTGTTTGTGTAGCGGATGTCGATGGCGATGGAGGCCCCGAGGTAGCGACGAGAGATCTGTGGCTCTGACTGCCGGTGTGAGTCTCCCGGCATTCGAAGCAGGGAGTCCTGAATGGCTTCGTCGACGTCGTTTAGTTCGGTTCACGGTATCGGGCTAGGCTTTTGGTTGCTTTGCCGCCACTGTTGCGGGGGCTCTGAGGGCTTTTGGGGGGATTTTGAGGACTTTGGACGTCGGCTCAGTCGGCTCGCCTCGTTTAGGCTTTAGGGTTTAGGGTTTTGGAGTTTTGGGGTTTAACTTAGGGTTCGGGGGTTAGGGGCTTAGGGTTTGCAGTTGATGGTAGACCAAAGGTTTATTAGGGTACCAGGTGGAGCTTGGGTCGAAGATCGGCACACAAGGTTTTATAGGCTTGAAGCGGGGCTTCGGCACTTTAGGGCTTACTGGGTCTCTCAGTGTAGTAACGGCTAGATTCATGGTGTTCGAACTTTGTGGATGGGGGTGAGGGTTTGAGAATGAGCGCCTTGTGTTTGGGCTTCATGGTAAAGGGTTGGCATTTCTGCTCCACACAAAGACGACAGCTTCTGCCAATGCCGGCCTTGAAGAATTGCTTTGACATCGATCAATGTTTGCAATGCCTAGTACAAAGCCGTCCAGAATTTCCCTGCGACTTCGTGGCACGAGAAGGGCGCGGAAAACTTCTACAGCAACTAAGCTCGCCGCAACCTCAGCAAGCTACATACATATAGGGGCCGTAATAATTCGAATGCGGTTTTGCGGTATACCATACCATAACTATAAAAAGGAACCCCAAAATAATATACGTAGTTATCTAAAACTTTAAGCCCTTTTATTCACCTTGGAAAGCCTGCCTCCAGCTAGTGGCATGTCGGGTATGGAACCTGGGTTTTCGACGGGTCCGGCTTCGCTTCTGGAGGTGGCAAGGTTGGCTGGCGCAGTTCTGAACTGGAACCCATGGTCGACTATATATATATATGTATGTATGTATGTATGTATGTATGTATGTATGTATGTATGTATGTATATATATATATACATATTATACTAGTATAGAGTAGAACGGAGTGTAAAATTAGATGTAATGTAATGCAGTGCAAAAACATGCTATAACACAATGCCGTATGATCATATAATATAATAGAAAAGAATATCATCGACGAATAAAGTATCATAATGCCAAGACTCCAGGGTTACGTTGGCGGCCTGCAGAACGAGGTCCAAAGACAGGTAGTCGGCATAAGTCGAACTGAAGCAGGCTTTGCCACCCGCAAGACTCTTGCAGGACGGAACATCCCCGGAATTCTGATGAATGCCCGCTTCTTTGCAGGCACTGTGAGTGCAATGCAATCGGAACGTCTGTCCTCGGCGGTCAATTCAAGCTGATTTTTCTGTGCCGGGAATGCCGAAGTCCCCGCAAGACCGAGACGCAATGTAGGGGCCTTATTAGAATAGGGCTTGGGGGTATAACATATTAGAAGTATTGTGCAGAACCCCGAAAATATTAGGTAATTATTATATGCTGTCGTACATCGATCGGTGAACCAATGCCTTGCCCTGACTATTGCAAAACCAGTCGTACCCTGGTTGTCTAATGGTCTACAGTCTCCAAGTCAAGTTTCCATTTTATGAAGTACCCTTGTGGTTTCTGTAGGTATCCCCCCCATATTAACACCAAGCTCGAATCCCTGGACCCTGAACAACTTCATCATCTAGCAAAATTTGTAGATATATATATATATACATATATATATATATAGAGAGAGAGAGAGAGTATATATATATATATATATATATACCTATACATATCTATGTATGTCTATATATAGGTCCTTGACGCCCTTTCAGACATTTACCGAGATTCCATTGACCACGACATATCCAGCGCTGGTCGGATTTCTAAGGTGGACGCCCTCAGCCATGACCTTTATTTAGGGTTTATAGGGTTCAAGGTTTAGGGCTTAGGGTTCTGGGTTTAGGGTTTATAGGGTTTAAGGGTGTAGGGCTTACGTAAAGGGTTTAGGGCCTAAGACTCAAGAGTTGAAGGGCTTATAATTATAAGAGTTTAGGAGTTTGGGTTTAGGGTTCAGGTTGTGGCGGCTTAGAGCTTTGGCTTGGAGTTACGAGGCTTATAGCGTTTTGGACCTCGTGACGGAGAACAAGCCAGAAGGTCTCCACATCTTCCACGAACTCCACCGAGAAACCCACCTTCACTCAGCCAACAGGCCTTAAAAATTAGAATAGGGTTTTGGGGGTTCCTTATTATACTGAACGTATAACAAAAAACCCAAACCCTATTCTAATTATTAAGGCCCCTACATTGGGCACAACGTTGAGCCGGAACAGAGAACTGAAGCGTCAATTGAAGGAAAGCTGAGAAGCATTTCGCCAGATGCAGTCCAAACCAGCGATGCCGTTGCACCTACTCTGCGGCACCACCGTCCTCGCAGTCATGATCAGAGGATGTCCTTCTTCCTCCAGCACGTCGTTGGCATCGAAACGCTTGCACACTGCTGTGACATCCGGTCGTCCGAACGGCCAGCGATCCTTGTTGTACCCATTCGTCCGTGAGAAAAAATCGTGATGCAAGACCGTCTGCGTGCGATTCAGCGCAGCTTCCATGCAATAACTAGGAATATTGTTGCTCTTGCTCGGTATGTCGTCGCAGTTGAAATCAAAGCCATCGCAAGCCAACATACCAAATGGAGGAGCGAGCTGAAGGAAGGAATTCGAGATCGAAATATCATTCAGCTCGTAGAAACGTAGCCCGGTAATCAGCCACACCACCACGACGAGCGTCACAAGCAAAGTCGCCACGATTCGTGGTACTTGCAGGGGCGGGGCGTGGATGAGAACTTTCTTCGGCACTTCGTACAGCTCGAGATACCGTTGAACGCAACCTAGTTCTGCCAACTCCTGATCACTTTCGGAAGCGATCATGGCGCAACCCTACACCCTAAACCCCTAAACACGGCGGTCTTAAGGACCAGGGATCTGAAAGAGTCGCGACAATCTTCTGATATTCCTCACTCGAGTATCCATAGTTAGTATCTTAGTTGCAGCGTCCACAAACCCCAAAAATACTTGAGCTTCTAGTTCTTTACGAGTTAGGATCATCCCCAAAGTGCAAAAGTATATCTCTTCGGATATCAAGGCATGTCTGACCCGCAAACCCTAAACCCTAAACCGCAAACCCTATTCGAATTATCAAGGAGAATCATGAGGAGGCTCAGGGAGTTGGGACGGAGCTGGGGGTTCGGAGTTGGGGGTTCGGAGTTAAGGTTTAGGGTTTAGGGTCTAGGGTCTAGGGTTTAGGGTCTAGGGCTTAGGGTTTAGGGTTTAGGGTTCGGAGTTAAGGTTTAGGGTTTAGGGTCTAGGGTCTAGGGTCTAGGGTCTAGGGTTTAGGGTCTAGGGTTTAGGGTCTAGGGTTTAGGGTCTAGGGTTTAGGGTTAGGGTCTAGGGACTTGAGTTTAGGGTTTAGGGTCTAGGGTCTGGGGTTTAGGGTTTAGGGTTTAGGGTTTAGGCTTCGGAGCTAAGGTCGATGTCTGGAAAGCCTCATCGCGCAGGCGCCGAGCACAGAACACGGAAGCAGGACACATGATGTAGGGGCCTTAATAATTAGAATGGGGTATTGGGATATATTATACTATAGTTATAATATATAAGGAACCCTAAGGAATGAAATTGGCAATTATTTACAGTAATGTAAGGGCCTGAACAGTTGCATCATGGTTTCGGGAAGCTTCACTCATGAAATGAACATTGAAAGACAAAGGAGAAACCTTCCTAAGCAATCAGACCCCAAAACTGAATACACTTCCCATGCTCCATGTACCCTAAGCAGGGTGCCTGGCTTTATCGGAACAGTGTTTCCTTAAGGCAAGTGCGGGACCTTGGGGGAAGGGCGTTTAGGCTGCTGGAGCCCATCCCTGCCATCTATGCAGACATCTCTGGACTTAGGAGCTGTTTCCGGTCGAAGTATAGCTATAACGTCTAGAGGAATTCGTGCAATGACCATGTAGCGCCACAGACCGAACTTCATTTCAGCCTTAAATACTGACGAGGTCCAAGGAGCAGTCAAAGATAAACACGGCTGCAACTTGCCTGGCTTGCTCCTCCTCAGCCTCTTCCTCTCCCCTGCGTCGTGCTGCCTGATCGTGAAAGCTCTGAACCGACACCCACTACTCATGAGTATTACTACTGCTGCTGCTGCTACTACTACTACTACTACTACGACTACTACTACTACTACTACTACTACTACTACTACTAATACTACTACCACTACCACTACTACTACTACTACGACGACTACTACTACTACTACTACTACTACTACTACTACTCCTGCTGCTGCTGCTGCTGCTGCTGCTGCTGCTACCAGAACTCGGTGACTTTAGGATGGAAGTGCTTCAAACAATAATCCCTCGACTAGAAACCTGTGTCGGAGTTGGAGATCTTATCTCCTTGTCGAGAAAAGACATAATGCCGGGGACTTGAGGATGGCAATAGGTTGTGTGGTATGTTTCAGTCCAGGTATGGACGGCCCTGAGATATGTTTCCAATATGCACGCATGCATTGCTTGACCCTCTCGTACCTATCTGGGCACCCCTTGAGGCTTCAGTAGCATGTTTGTCGGAATGTGGACATTTCTGGAACGCTGACTGGACAGGACTAGGATTTGGGGTCGGTCCCCACGGCAATAATTATAGGGTTTACGGTTTAGATCTTCGACCTCTCTTTCTCTCTCGTTTGCTGTAAAACAGAGCTGGGTAAACGGACACACAACCCTAGCGAGCAAATCCCCGCGATCCTGCAGGTAGATGTCTCAGATGGCGCCAACCCATTCTTCAGGTAGGGATCTTTCCAAGCCCCACATCATATGAAGTATACGGCTCCAGTATCGATTGATCCGTGAATTTGTCTTTTATGCACCAACAAGACTGTGTGCCTCGTGTATGTTCGCATCATTTAAACATAAACACATCTGTGCATGCAAGTGAACGTAGCAGGGGTATGTCTGCATGTATGAACGATTGAATGGATGAGGTAATTGATGCATGCATGCATGAATGCATGCATGCCTTGATGTATATTTTTTGTATATATGTATGATATGGTATGTATGTATGTGTATGTATGTATGTATGTATGTATGTATGTATGTATGCATGTATGTATGTATGTATGTATGTATGTATGAATGTATGAATGTATGTATGTATGTATGTATGTATGTATGTATGTATGTATGTATGTATGTTTGTCTGTATGTATGTATGTATGAATGTATGAATGTATGTATGTTTGTCTGTATGTATGTATGTATGAAT